GTGTGTGTGTGTGTGTGTGTGTGTGTGTGTGTGTGTGTGTGTGCGCGCTTGCGCGCGGGGAAGGGATGTGTGTGTGGGGGAGGGGAGTAAGGTCTTGCAACCGGGAGAACTAAATGACAACAATTAATTGAACTGAAATATAGCCAAGATAGAGTTTGTTCATAAATAAGGCACTTTATCGAGTTAACACGATATCTGAAATGTAATCATAATAAGTTCAGGAGTTTATTTTGTTTATTTCTTTTTGTATTGTAGTCAATCTCTCGTATATTATCCCTTTATCCTTCTATATTCGACTTTATTGTCATCGTCAACGTTCGTCGGTAATAAATAAACGAGGAACGAATGAATTGATGTTGGGGACTACTGCTGTACTGGTGTAAGCGTTACAGATATAGTCCCTTGAATTTTAAATATTAATATTTATGAGGTTAAAAATATAATACACATGCACTGTATTTGTGTGCGCGCACCAACCAAGGTGCAAGGCATCATGGGAAATATAAAACCTGTGATGCGCTTCATGCTCTTGGGATTTTTGAGCAATCGTTACTGGCGATACACCGAGTGAGACAACAAACCAAACAGTACGGCAGGATGGAAAGTGTGTTCCACGAGAAAGTGAGATTTGTAGTATAATCGTATCTAATTATTGTACTAAACATTTTCTGATGGTGTTGTCTATGTGTTCATAATGCGTGTGAAAGTGCTGACATGCTTACGGTGTGAATTTACCGATATGTAGGTGCATTTTGCTACACGGAAGTCGTCTCTGTCTCACTTTGTCACTAGGCTAGAGTAGCCTAGATGTCGTATATCGAGACATTGACTGTCATTGTATGTCCGCAATCATAGGGTATAGTGGGGCTCGCTGCCCAGTAATTTCACCAATATAGCGCTTCACCTCACCACCATATTATAGTAAATATCATCCCGTGTCAGTGACGCACGACGCGGAATTTTGGTAGGGCGTGGCATGTACTGTACAGCCCGTGCTGTGGGTACGTGCTATTGACGGTATTGTATTGCGAGCCCCATTTGTAAGGTCTATAACAGATATAATGGCTGCATCTATTGATACTGTAAGAATGGATTGAATTCAGATGAAACATTAATTTGTCGGTTAAACCTATGTGGGTGAGTCATGCATGTGCTAGATTAAAGAGCTAAGCACCCCGAGTGAACCAATGAGGTAAAGTACAAGACTGTGTCCGTAAGGCTACATTATCATATCTAGTAGAAACCACACATTTCAGAATATACATATCATTATTACTAAACATACAAGATGTTATGGATCAAGGATTGTTTGGGACCCTGCAATACACCGATTGACAGTTCTGCGCCTGTGTTCTGCGCCAGTAGTTTCGCATCTCCACGAGAGCCCGGATGTGCGAGTAAACTCCGCCATGTTGTTTATCTCGATGCGTTATATCTGCCTTGCATACGCAGGTCGCTCACCTTTGTGTCGAAGAACAGTGCACGTAGCAGAGAATAGAGCACCGCGATAATGGATGACCTGAGTGACATGACACTTGATACATTTAAATTATGGTCAATGCATGCTCTAAGTCTTTCTTAAGCCAATACGATCCGTTTGAGCAGCCCTACACACTACACGTTAACGCCATTCGCGCATTTTACTCGCAATTCTGGGACGAAAAATTCCTCCCGACCTTTGACCTTAGGCTTAGCGCATGCGCAGTGTTAAACTCTCAACCGGTGTATTGTGTTTTTCGCATATGTGCTAAACTAGGCTTAGGCCAATGTTACACCAGATTTTCCCTGAGTGAACAACTGTGGTCACAATTCCACGATAAAGTATAGAATATTATCATATCTACTAAAAGTCGTGCATTTCAGAATATGCATTTCATCATTACTAAACATACAAATTGTCACACCACATTCATGAAACCCATTTTCAGAACCACTGCAATTTAGGCGTATCAGGTTTACCTATGTTACCGTGCTTGTTGTATGTAAACAAATTTAAAATGCAAGTCGGTGCACATGTTGGTGAAAACAATGATATAAGAGTGTTACAAGGCATTTTAGTCATACCGTATACCCTTAGTGTTATGCACGGAGCTCCAGTAGGTATCAGAACAGTCGAGAAAATCCGAAAACGTGTAGAAACGTGAAAGTGTTCACATGTTGAAACATATGGAGAAATATGGAAAATGTGAAATGGTTTTTTTTTTTTTTTAGGTAATTATCCATTTAGGTAAATTTTAAATTAGAAATTAGATAACTAATTAACTACCAAGGATATATACTAGTAATGTCACGATCATCGATTATACTCGATCATCGGTTGAACAGTGGTTCGAACCAAGCGCTTGGTTATCAAAATCCATAATCGATTACATTAAAAAACAAATTAAAACAAATTAAAATAAATGTAAAACTTGAACAAGAAAACTTGGAAAAGTGATGAGAATCAAAGATATCATCGCTACTATACAAGTTATCTTTTATTAACATACATGTATTATACACACAGTAGTAAACAGTGCAAAACAAACAGTAAACAGGGCTAAACAAGCACATACATGCACACACGTACATGCACACGACGTTACACACGCAGGCATTCAACACCCCGAGTAACCGATTGTAACCGATTATCGGTTACTTGGGTCCAACCGATGATCGATTACGAAATTACAACCGATTGACAACACTAATATATACACAAAAGTATGACTAGCACACTTATTTACATTGTGGTCCTTCATACATTAGTGTTAATAATAATAACACTACCATCAGCACTTTAAACTATCGAAATATACACATTTGTAATTTTTACAAGTTATACTTTTTCATAATTTATACATTTCTTATATCCGATTTACAATCAGAATCAGATTAGTGAAATTCAAACTTCTCTGCTTCCAACATTTCAACCGTTTCCATTAGACATTTTTCAACGTTTAGGAAAACGTGAATTCCTTGCCTGAATGGTGTCTCATTTTTCAGCAAGAGGGATCTCTGTGCGCCCAGCATTGCCTAAACGCTCTCTTGCAAGGAGCGTACTTTACACCGGTGGATCTAGCAACGCTGGGGCAGCAGCTTGATGATGAAGAGAGAGCGCGCATGGCAGAGGGTGGTGCCGAATCAGAGGACTACAGAGCTTTCCTACAGGTTAGAGAGAGGATATCTCCCCCTCTCAAAGTATCACGGTTGCAGTTGTTACAAACTTGTGTAATTGAAACAGGAACACTGTTCATAGGTGCTGTGGCTTTATTAATTAGCCACGTGTAAGAGAGCTTCTGATACGTTGCGGAACATTTTATACCTGAAGCTTATCTTTCTTACCTGCAGATGGCGTTTGAATAGCATGCTCGTATGTTTGTTTACATAACATTGTTGGTGACATTATATATATTGTTACAGCATTGATGCGACTTAGCATTTCATTGGTGTAGCATTTCAGTGGTGGGTTGATGATTTAGCCGAATATTATCTCGTGCTTTTTGGTTATGGACATCGTATCGGGAGTCGGTTAAAAGAAGCCGTCAGCAGTCAGCTTAAATATTAGAAATGATTGGCTTGTTAGTTGCACGTTTCGTCCCTATTCTCCACAATGAGAGAAGGAACTAAGAGAGAGATTGTGTGTTACGTTATATCTTTATAAATTATAGTGTTAATTATTAGAAATTCTTAGTGTTACGTTGTGATTTGCACTTTCCAGCAACCCTCGGGAAACATGGATGACAGTGGCTATTTCTCGATACAAGTGTTGAGTGCCGCGCTGAAAGTCTGGGGTGTGGATCTTGTACCGTACAGCAGCAGAAACCCGATCGCTCTTGCAGCCAAGGCAAACCCCGTGTATGCAGAATGCTTCTATCTGCCTCTACGTGTAACATTTTAGGCCACCCTTAAAAAATTGTTTGTTTCCCTTTTACAAGTGAAAAATCTTCTTCTTTTTTTTTTGACAAGATGTGTGTACGTATATTGTATATTCTGTTTTGTGTATATGTTTTTGCGAAACGAAATAATTTTTGTTTTGTTTTAATCGGCCAATAAAATGTGTCGAGTAGCGGTGTTTTGGCGAGTCGGTCGGTAAAGGGGAAACAAGCAATATTTTATCTTAGGCCTTACTGGTTAAAATTGTGTCTGCAGAAAATTTTTGTGAGAACGTTTTAAAAAAAATTACAATATCGGGAAACTTGTGAACAGTAATTTTTTTTTTACAAAGGTGACAATTAAAGGTGTTAAAATCTAAGATGCTTTAGCAAATTAGCAAATGTTTCGGCAGTTTTCTTTAGGAGTTTTTTTTATGAAGACTCGATGTGTTTGTGGTGTTCACAAAAGGATTAGGCCTAAACAGATTCAGATACGTTTCAGTGTCTTTATTGGCAATGTCCAACGTGGAAACTGGCTGCCCCGAAAACTGTTTCATTACTTCCTTTCTCGATAGGGGGCAGCACAAATACAGTATCCTCAGATGATCGAGAGTGACTTTCCCCCGGGCGTAGATGGACGGTCACGTGATGTGGCAGCACTAGTGTTAGGATTAGGGTTAGGGTCAGGGTTAGGATTAGGTTAGGGTCAGGGTTAGGATTAGGTTATGGTTAGGGTTAGGGAAATAAGGCCATGTCTAGCACGGAAGTATGACTGTGGAATCTTTCTGTGGAAGATTTGGACTTTGAAGCGTACAAAGTGACTAGTGCTGCCATGTAACGGCACCGTCCATCTACGCCCGGGGGAAAGTGACACCCCAGATGATCTATAATTCATTGAAATATAACAAAGACATTACAGTGTTGTACTGTCTGAGTGTATTAATAATTGAGGAACTAATTTTTGCAGGAACCAGAGAGCCTTTATCTGTAACTTCAAGGATCACTGGTTGACGGTGAGAAAGTTGGGTAACCAGTGGTTCAACTTGAACTCGTTGCTCACAGGACCAGAGCTGATCAGCAACACATACCTGGCCTTATTCCTCACACAGCTACAACATGAAGGTAGACACGCAAAAACATATAAGAGTATACGAGTATACATTTGCAATACGTGACGATTTCTTGGTACCCAGCATGTGTGCGTGCGTGATTGAATTATATTATTGAATTATTTATTCTAACACCTACCTGGTGTTATTCCTCACATAGCTACAACAATCAACATGAAGGTAGAAACGAAAGTGTATCTGCACATCATTAATGGCTCAATGCTGCTGGCAGCTGCTCAGTTCCTACAGTGAATCATGTCTAGCCCAGCACGACCGTAAAAGTAAATACTTATGCATTTGCAATACGTGACCATTGTTTGGTACACTACGTGCATGCGTGCAGGTGTGTGTGTGTGTGTGCGTGCGTGCGTGCGTGCGTGCGTGCGTGCGTGCGTGCGTGCGTGCGTGCG